TTCATAGGTCGGTTTGGAAACTCATAATGGTAAGTATAAAATAATAGTTTTTTTAAGTTAAACAAGTTTATTTGAAAAGAAATAATAGCTCTATTAGTTGTTTTATGAGTTTTTACCAACCTTTTAATTTTTCATATCGGTGTTAAGTGTGATATTCTTACTGTACTAATGTAACTCATTCCCCTATTTAATCATTTCAGATAAAAAAGATCAAAATTCAGATCTCGAACAGCAAGAGGGTTGCGAATAGAGGTCACCCCCCCGAACCCCATCAGAGTTGTCCAGCGGAGGTTAACTTCATAGGATTTTATTTCGTTTTGTTTTAACAATTTATTTCACTACTTTAAACTGCTATAAAGAGTATTTCCGTAACCCTATTGGGTATTCTGATTTACCGTATAAGGAATTTAAACCTTAAATTCTTAATTGTTTTCGCTTATTGCTAATATAATTCAATCTTTCCATTTTCCTAAGCTTTGAGCTTTTACATTTTAACCATGGTTTTTGTTGGGTTTAAGATCCTACTAATCACCCATTTTTTATTTATTAAATTATGATTAACAACATTATAATTATTAACTTATATTTTATCTTAATAAATTATTATAATTATGATAAATAAATATTTCGTAATATATATATTTTATTATTTAAGTAATCATATTAAATTAATATGGTCGTATTTTTTTTTTTAAGATTAAGTTGATTAATGTTTATGGCATAATCCAATAGGATATATTATTTAATTTTTTGTTTTTTTAATAGGTAGCTATTAGTTTGATGGAATTATTAGTTTGGTTCATTTAATCTAGTAAGTTAATTATTGATTAGATATGAGGACAAAAATTATTATTTTAATTGTTTTATATTTATTATTATTATTTTGAGATTTTCTAAATTTCATTAGTTTATTATTATTGTATTAATTTATTATTATTATTTTATTCATAATATATATGTATAGTTTTTTTTTTTTTACTATACACAAAATAAAATTAAGTTCATTCGCTATTATTCCACCCGTAGTATTTGAATGATGAGAATTAATTATGTAATATCTATATCGAGAATTCAGTTATTATATACGTCATTAGTTCGATCATTTATAAGAACTATTCGTGATAACAAACTTATAATTTATGTTTATTATAAGATCGTGCGATTGAATCTGTAAATATTTAGTAAAAAATAATCTTATACTTTAAAAAAAAAAAAATTGATCAATATCAATTAAACGACTCAATATTCATCTTGTTTATAAGACAAAATTTAAGAATTTTCTAATCTAAATATTTTCGATTCAGAATTTTCTTGCCATAATAAGTAATAGTCTTTTACCCTACATATCATCATCCAAAACCGATTTTAACATATTAACTTTTTAAATCTAATATAACTAAATTCAACCCATATTTAGATTCAAACAAAATTACTGATAATCCGTTTAATTTTTTCATCCATATTTATAATTACAACTATCATTTAAAAAATAAGTTGATATTATAATTTTATTAAAACATAATCACAATATATTCTCAATACATATATATATAAACATAAACACATACAAAATAATCTTTCGATATTACAATATGATCGTGATTATATATAAGAAATTGAAAAATACCCTTTTGTAAAGAAAAATTATATCAACCTTTATATATATATATATATATTATAAATAAATTAGCTAATTGAAACATTTTATATACATCATTCTTAACACATTTTAATCTTCTATCATAATTGAGACACCTTAACAAAAGCTTGGTTTAATGACCCACAAAAAACACCTATCTAAAATTCTTCTTTTTCGTAGGCTATGTTTAGCATAATTTAATGATATGATTTAATTAAAGTTTCAATTTCCCATCATCACTTTCTACCTTTTCTTCCCTACACCTATGTCCTCTTCTTTTAATTTCATATCACGAAAAGAATAAACACATTAAAAAATATATAACATTTAACAAGTGAAATTTTGGACCACCATGGCATCTCATAAGCATATAAATACAAGTGCTATAAAAAAACATATATATATATATATATATGTGTGTGTGTGTGTGTGTGTGTATTTTATAAGAAAGTCATGGAGTCTAGCTTTTGCCTCGTTTTTTTAGGTCCATAATGATGTACCTCAACTTTTAGAATAAAAGACTTGTTTTGTTAATATTAATACATAAAAAATATATTATGGGTTTATTGTAAATACTAAATTTTAAAAAATTAAATATATTTAATTGTAATAAATTTTAGTAATTTAAATTCACCAAAATAATTTATTAATATACGATATAATAATTTTTAAAATTTTATTTTATTTATTTGTATTTTCAGATATAATTATTATATTTAAAAAAAAAATTATCGAATTAGTAATTTTGTGTGGTTTGAATGATTTTTTTATTTATTTATATTTATACCCTTGTTTTATTATAAAATTTATTTTATTTTATTTTATTATATACTTTGTGTGACATTTTTATGATTATTTTTTAATTTAATGAAGCAACCCAAAGAAAACTTGGATGTTGACTAGACTCATTTAATAGTATGCATTGGTTCCATACATGTTTATTAAAGTAAATTAAAATATTTTATAAATTTTTTTTTTTTTAAAAAAGATATAAATGTTATTAAATAATTAAGTTAATTAAACATAAATATAATGATAAACAAATTCGTTAATTACTAATTAAGAGTAAATCACGTCATTGAACAGAAGCAATAGATTTTTCCCATCTCAACGGGACCCAGAAAGAGGGAGAATCTCTCCCTGTCATCTACCAGACATACGACTGTCGGTGCTGGGTAAAAAAAACAAGCTTTCATGGAAAAAGGGAAGAAGATGAAGATGACGTCACTTTTCACTAAGTGTGCTCCTTCCTCCAACGGTCATACTAAATCTCAAACCCTAATCATATCTATACTGCACAAAAACCCACTGTAAAAAAAAAAAAAAAAAAAGAAAGAAAAACCGACGCAACAAGACAAAACAAAGAATTTGCACAGCAAAAGGAAAACCGTGGTCAGTGTGCGAGATGCCATTTTTTTTTTCCTTTTAATCTTTTAGCTTTCTTCACCGATCTCTCTCTTTCTCTCTCTCTCTCTCACGGTCTGGTCCCAGGAAAACGACACGCGTAATCGTACAGGTGTCCATGTGAGATGCCTTAACCCTCTCTCTCAGTGTATCTCTCACACGATATATTGAGGCTAGAAAAGGAGTGAAAAGTGTCGAGAGAGAGAGAGAGAGAGAGAGAGAGAGAGAGAGAGAGAAAGAGAAAGGAGAGAGGAAACAAAGAGATTCATGTGATTGCGGTTGTTGTTTTTGGTGGGTGGAGGTGGTGATGAGTTTCTTCTTCTTTCTTTCTTTCATTCAGTGACATTCTTATCTTCTTCGTAGTTGTTTGAGTTTCATTGTCAATTGACGAGACTGAGAGGTAGGTACTCAGAGCTGGATCTGGGTTTCAGCTTCGGGAAAATGAAGGTTCAGTACCAGAGCTTTGTCTTTCAGACTCAAAGAAGAGGAGCTCTTGCTGGGCTTTTTCTTATTCTGTTTCCTGTTTTCTTGCCTTGTTTGTTTACTCCCTTCAGCCATGCTTCGCCTTCCTTGTTCTCGGTAAGTTTTTGACTCTGTTTGTCTCTGTTTTCTAGCGGTTTACTTTTTGTTTTATCTTGTCGTTTTCGGCTGAGAAAAACTGGGAAGTTTCTGCTTTATTTCGCTTTGATGGAAAATGGCATCGGCATAGATTCTCCATGGAAGTTAGTTTCTTTTTTGATTTTTGGATGTCTGTGTTAATGGGCATTTTCTGTTTGGGAAATGTTGATGGGAATTAATCCCAACTTTTGGCGAAAATTTATTTATTAATCTCTAGAGTAACTATTTACAGAAATGTTTGTCAAAATTAGAAACTTGGTTAATACGTAGACTTTAATTTTATGGTATTGTTTGTTCTTTTATATATTTTATTAGTTAGCAGCTGGTTTATGGAAAGTTGAAAATCGGAAAGGCCAGATACTAAAGTGTAGAAGGTTACCAAAGATAGAGAGTAAGGTTTATCTTGATTTTCTTGGTGTCATATTGTCACATGTCAACATCTAAATTGGATAGAATTGTATAAGCGCCATTGTTGGGTAGGTAACTACCACAGGAGTTACAGTCAACTATGAGTTGATAAGATCAGGTTTGGTGAATGGTGAGAGTTATTGTAAGGGAAGCTCTTTTGTTATTTTGCTCCTTGGAAAAATAGGAAACCGGTACTCTAAGATAACTTCTGCTTATATACATGAATAACACGTGTCTGGGTTAAAGTAAATTGGGATGTGAGTCTAGAAATTCAAGCAAACACATGCCTGTAGCCATGTTATTTTTCTTAGGACGTGTTTTGTGAAATGGGTTTACTTGGTATCAGCTAAATGATTTGATAAATGATTTCTGCTTCAGGAATGGAATACTCCTAAACCTAGGCACTTGCCACTTCTTAAGAGCGCTTTACATCGTCAAAGTGTGAGTAGCATTCTTTGCCCCCTCTTTTTTCCTTCCTCATGAATTTCTTGTGCACTGAATTCATCTGTGTTCTGTTTCTTATTCAGTCAGATTCAGAGCAGTCTGATCTCTGGATGCCTTTGGCTGACCAAGGATGGAGACCATTCGTCCAGTCTAAAGATGCCTCCTGTAAGTGAGACTACCCTATGGGTTTGATCTGTGAAAAAAAAGAAAAACTTTGTTAATCTGGACAAACAGTGAAACTTGAAATCATTGTGCATACATATATACATCCTATTCTGGTTTCAAGGATCTTGTTTTTCTTTGACTGACTTATTCATTTTTTGCAAGCAGCAGTACCAGAGAAATCTGAGGGATACCTGCAGGTATTTCTAGATGGGGGTTTAAACCAGCAGAGAATGGGGGTAAGTACATGAGATATTTTTATAATTCTTGTTAATTAAATATTTGCAGTAAGATGTTCTTAAGATTTTAGCCAATCACTCATATGTTGAGTTGTTCTGTTTATCAGATATGCGATGCAGTTGCAGTTGCTAAGATACTGAATGCAACTCTTGTGATCCCCTATCTTGAAGTGAATCCTGTATGGCAAGATTCAAGGTACTTTTAGTTGAAGCAACTTATTATCATAATTTTTCATAGTTTTGAGGAATGCGCACACTCATGTTCCTTAGTTTTTTCTTGCAGTTCATTCGTGGATATATTTGATGTGGATCACTTTGTTAATGTACTGAAGGATGATATTTCTATAGTTAAAGAACTGCCTGCTGAATTCTCATGGAGCACAAGAGAGTATTATGCCACCGCGATCCGAGCTACCAGAATTAAAACAGCACCTGTACATGCTTCTGCCAATTGGTATCTAGAGAACGTGTTGCCTGTTCTGCAGAGGTTGATCTTTTTTCCTTACTCTTTTGTGTTTCCGTAGGATGGTTCTTTGAGCTAGTTGTACCTCTATGCTGTGAGGTTATTCCAGATAAAAATAATTTTTTCCCCATGCACCTTGTCTATCCATCTGATAGATCTGGCTGA